TGCTGTGCACAGGAAATACCAGGAGAGACATCTTTTAAAGAAGTACCCTTTAAATATCTTTCATCAATAACTCATCTTACAAAAACAAAAACAGAGTCCTAGGTCATTTATTTCCACATTTTATATTCTGATATAATGATTAAGGTGGGAAATAGCCCTTTAAGAACCATTTCAGTTTTATCATGTAAATTTTGATATCTAGTGCTCTGATATCTGGGCAATGTAGAGATTTTATTTCTGGTAGAAAGTCATTTAAATCCACAGGGAGTTAAAGTATATTTTTAAAAAATATATCTGCTTTTCATATCATGAAAGAAGTGTGCATTTATGCAGAAAATTTTACATTTTTCATTAAAGCATAAAGATGAGTTCACTTGGTGTTGCCCATTGTAAGCAGTTTGGACATTTTCTTTTTAGCTTGACTCCTGCACAGAAAGAAAAAACTGAAAAGGGAGACTAGTGTGTACAGGGGGAGAAGCGCGCAGGGGCAGAGAAGTCCTCCCTCATGAGGAAAGCAATCTACTGCTCCTGGGTGCTGGGACTGTAGTAGAGGGCACAGACTGGAAACGTACTGTGAGAAACACAGACTCCACTTCCAGAGTGCAAACCACACACACAAGTAAAGCACACTCCACAGTTTTCAGTCATGCTTCACTTTGTGAAAGCGGCTTTGAGTTTTATCTTAAAACTGGAGTCAGAACCCCAGGTCAGGAGAATGGAGCCAGAACTGCAGGTCCAGGAGAATGGAGTCAGAACCCCAGGCCCAGAACGGAGTCCGAACCCCAGGTCAGGAGAATGGAGCCAGAACATTTGTCCCAGAAGGGGTAAATATCTGTTGCATTTTCTTGGCTTTATTTTAACCTCTATTTTTTATTTTTATTTTTATTTTTTATTTTTGGCCTTTTGAGACAGGGTTTCTCTGTGTATCTTTGGCTGTCCTGGGATTAACTTTGTAGACCAGGCTGTCCTTGAGCTCACCAGAGATCTGCCTGCCTCTGCCTGACAAGTGTTGGGATTAAAGGTGTGTGCCACCACACCCAACTACTCTGTCTTTTTCTTTTTTAAGGACTTAATCCTTTTTCTTTTCTCTCTCAAGCCTACATATATTTTTTTAACACACTGCAAACTATTTAGAGGCTTTTTCATCTGAAACTATCTTTACTGTATCTCTCTTTTTCTGACCACATGAGTCTTTAATTTGCTTACTGATATGGCTAAGATTAAAGCAATGGCTTTGACGGGTAGATCCAGCCCATTCCTTAGCTTTCTGAGATTCCAGCCTCGTGGCAGTGGTACCAGTAGGAATTATGTTTATTGCCACAACTCTATGGAGTTTCAAGGTCCCGCCACCATCAAAAAGCATGCAGTCAGCTTTTCATCAACACCATTTAAGTGTTTCATGGCAGAACCTCTTAAAAGAGCTGCAAGGTTTTGCAGCTAATGCTGAGTCAGGAAGCCTCTCTTAAATGAGAGCGCTTGCCTCTAGCAAGCAGAGCCCACCCAAGAAAGTGTTGCTATCAATAAGCCATGCTTTCTTTGCTCGATTCTTTTCTGTCTAGAATTACTTCCCAAGCTCTCTCAGGCTTTATGTAGATGCAGTTGTCCACGTGGGCACCATTCTATTGATGGAGGTTTTCTGTCCCGCCCAGTCCTGCAGCCATTAAGTCCCAAAGAATCACACAGAGGTCTACATTAGTTATCAACTAATTGGCCCATTAGCTCAGGCTTCTTATTAACTAATTCTTATAATTTACATTAGCCCATAGTTCTTGCCTGTGTTAGCCACATAACTTGGTACCTTTTTTGGTGAGGCAGTCACATCTTGCTTCCTCCGTGGCTGGATCACAACTGCAGACTGCGCTTCCCTCTTCCCAGCATTCTCATTGCTCTGCCTCTACTTCCTGATTGGTTTCCCTGCCTCTACTTCCTGTCTGGCTACTGGCCAATCAGCGTTTTATTAAAAATAATACAAAAGGCCATAGTCCCACAGCACAGTCAGATTAGGGACCCACTTGAGATGCACAGTTCCTTCCATGCTTTATAATTTAAAAATAGATTCTTTGCTTTCCCAATTACAATAATAACAGAAAATGCTAGTCTGTTGGGAGTTACCATAGTAACTGGGAATAACTTCTTTTCACCAAGAAATGGACACTTACATCTAAGTTCTTGCTTCACTTTTGCTTTGTGAAAATACTGCCTGTGAATTGCACACCATAAGCTGTGACTCTTTTTGTGAGTGTGGGTGATTTTCTGTAGATGTTTATGCATAAATATTAATAAAAATCTGTAAGAGACACCAATCATAGTTCATTTTTGAACTAAATTACTTTCTGACAGAGACATATGAAATTAATTGAATTGCAAACAAAATCTAAGAGATAGATTTAGCATATGGCTACTCTTTACTATGATTTTTCTAAAAAAAAAAAAAGTACAGGAAACCATTCCTTTTCTTAAAGAACTAAGAGATATTTGATGGCTCTGACTCATGCAAATGCATTTCTTTCAGAGAAGAAGAGTGGATGGTCATTAGTGAAACCACTGCTAGTATTAACATATTCTGGGCAGCCTGGAAAAGAGGGTGGGTGGGAGAAGTCTACTATTTTTAATCAGGAACAAATAAACATAGAGAGCCAGTCTGAAATGTAGCTGAACCTGATAGCCCCATGTGTCCAGCCTGAACCTGCAGATGCAAAGGTTGAGTTTGGTGAAGTAATTTGGTCCTTGCAGAATGCACTTTGAAATCGACAGTTTTATAATGCAGAATGATTGAAAGACTTTGAAATTCCAGGCAAAGTCATAAAAAATATTCCTGCTTTAATATATATATATTATATATATATATATTCCTGCTCAAATCTATCACGGCCTTTTAAGGATTGCTGACTCCATAAATTCTGACTTTTATCAACAGCACTTCAGTAATGTTCAGAAAATAAACTCACAGGAAAACCTCGGGTGTTCAATTAGTGTTAAACGTTTTAGGGCAGAAACGGAGATAATGAAATTATGAGGACAACGGCAGCTTAACGTTTTGTGGCTCACAAGAGATTTATGCATTCCAATATCACCTCCAGCTATGCAGATGGCATCATAAAAAAGAATGGATTCCTGACAGGGGAGCACAGGGCAGGGAATTGGACTGTAGTTATCTTAATACTAGTTCTTTGTCTTAACTGAAATACGTTAACAAGGAAGAAAGGAAGAAGAAAAGAAGCCTCCCACTCATTCTTATGACTAGCGCAGGTTTTACCTCTTCCCAAACCCCACGGTTATCACTGAAATGTTTGACTACAATACAGCTTCTTTCACGGGAATCATCTCTTTACCGAAGATTGCATTAGGTTCACGGGGAGTCTTGCGGGAACCGCTGGGCTAAAGAAGTCACCAGAGAATCACCGGGCCTCTGAACTGAAATAAGGACAAGCAGTCACTTTTGTGCAAGTTCTCCAGAATTTCAGCAGGAGGCAGGAGCAGAATCAGTTGAGGTACCAGTCTGTCGACTAGCGGCAACTGGTTATTACTTCCTGCTAGCAAGCCCAGGCATGCGCAGTCTTTTGAGGGTTGGAAATTGAGTAAAGAAATCTTCTTGTGAGTCTTTTAGGATTTCCTTTAGCGCTGCTTACCTTGGGGGCTTCCTAGGAAAATTGCCAAGGACTCGGATCATCTCCCATATCTGTATTTCATGGCATCCCCTTACCCTTCAGCAGTCTGCAGAAATTAAAGGACAAGAATCCTGCCAGTCGGCTCATTGCTAGAGGGCACTACAGAAAATTTGCAGTTTCTAAATGGTTCTTTGGAAATGTTGGACAGCTTTTCTTTATAGGACTAAGTTTCCTTATCTCCCGAGGTAATGGGTGGGATGCTGAACTAAGGTGTTGCCTTGGTTTTACAAGCTTACTCTTAGGGAGAAATGATGTCTTCATCTTAATCACCTTGTTGGGTTTCTCATTTCTCCTCTGAAGAACGTAAGCTACTTAGGCCTAGTTCAAATTTGCAGACTGGTGCACGTACTTTCTCTACCCAGGCCAAACTCTTCCTGGAGGCAGATGAATCAAAATTCCTAAAAGGCATATTCTCTGCATGGAATGGAGTACAGTGGGAGGTGGCAGCAGCTAGAGTCTTGGAGACTTTGGTCTAGAGCTTGCCTCGGTCACTTGATCTTGGAACCGTTAACTTCTCTGAGACTGTGTCCTCTATGACTTAGGATAATGGCTACTTCAAATGATCATTGTGAGGATTAAAAACAGCTGGGTATAAAGCTTAATTAAATGACATGATTGTGTGACGTGTCATGGAAAGACTAATATTTTCTAGAACCAGTACATGGCAATTGCTTTCAGTGACACGCATGTTCACAAGCCTGGCATCGTCTTAGGGACTGATGGTAGTACCTCCTGGCCATCTCTACTGGTGTTTCTATGCTTGGTAACAAGGCCCACAGGCTCTTACTTCCAATATCAGACCTTTGATTGAGATAGAAAGAGACACAAAGTTACAGATCTGAAAAGGACCTCAAGCTATAAAAGTCAGTGCTAAGGCCTATCACGTAAGGAGTCCATCTCTGTGTTAGGGAACCTAAATGTATTACTGTATACCACACTAGTTTCACAAGAGCTGGGATCAGTTTCATTTTACCCTGATTTTACAGAGTAGGAAACTGAGGTAGAGAGGTTACCAGGCAAATCCTGAAGTCAGCTCTACAAGCAAACAAACCTCGTTAAATCAGGGGTCACGGACAATCAATCATACCATCTCGTAGCAACTGTGGCAGCTGCTTGTTTCCTTCTGAATTATCTCTAAAAATTCAAGAGCCAGTTTTAGTGTATTACATCTTTATAAGCAGGAAATATTTCTTACAAGTTAGTTGTGGGGATTGCTCCAGTGTAGCTCATTTGGTTTAACTGGTAATCCATAGAGATCCGAGGAGAAAACCTAGTGTTTCTGATCACAGCCAATATTCTCAACAACAAGAACTTCTCTGTCTTTCTTTTTAGATTATGTCTAATACTTCACTTCTGTATTCAGAGAACATAATGACAGTAATACGGAGGTCAGTGATAACAAAGGTAAGTTATCAAAGCATCCCACGGGGCAATCTTGACTCAGTCCAACAGATGGGGCTCTAGAGTCCTGTACAGGGAAAACCAAGTTCATATTTATGCTTCCAGACCTGTCAGGTTTTCTCTCCAGGGGAACATAAATTTCCAAGCACTTTGAGCTGTCTGTGTGCACGGAACAGGCCCCTTTCAGCCTAAGGGCAGCCTTCTGACAGAGAGATGCAGGTGTGGGCAATTGTGAGCTGGTATGTTTAAAAATGGAAAGAGACCCGAGGGGTTTTGCTGGGGACTGTGGACAGCACCTGGCATGCTGACTAATGCTGGCAGAGTGAAAGAATTTCTCCCTGGTATGGGCATTTCACATCCTGCTAGTACCTCTCAGGGCCCTCATTGAGTCCTCTCCTCTTAAGCAAGGAGAAAGATTCCTTTCTCTACAAGAGAAGCAGACAAGGCTTGAAAGACCCATGAGTTTTATGGCTTATCACAATTAGCCACTCCTTATTTGTGTAGTCTGGTATAAGTTGGTCAGTAACTTCAAAAACCCACTACCTATGTTAATAATGGACACAACCACCACCATGGAGATTTTCTGGTGAGATAAAGTCTTCCAGGTGGTATCCACGGGAGTGCTTGGTGTACAGCAAATCAAAGAAACTATTATCGTTTATAATACTTCCCTTTCCTCCTCCCCCAAATTACCACAAAGGAGAGTAGATAAGATTCTTGCTTCAAAGAATCTCTCACACCATCAAATTGGGGAACTCCATCATTAAGAGGCAGGTTTAGAGTATTCATACCAGAAACACATCAACAGCCTACGTGGAAACAACTAAGTCATTGATGATCACATTTTTTTTTGAATTGTATCAAAAATGATCATTGATCTCAGGCTCAATAACATTTCTAAGAGGCTCCTGATATCGTTCAGTGCCTCCGAATGCTTCTATTGAACTGCACTGATTCTAGAACACTCCTGCAAACAGTGAGGATGCAGTTAAGGAGTCTCTTGTTGCCACATGCCAGAGACTCTAGAAATAGAGAACTGCACTCAGCAAAACAAGAGATGTATTTTCTTTTTCTTGACAGAGCGTGGCTCTCAAGACTGTTCACGAACTGTTTTCTAATTTGACACTAGCAGCAAGACCTCCTAAGTGATAGTAGCCTTGTCTGTTAGCATATTATAGAGAAGACACAAATGAGAATGTTATTTCACAGTATTTGCCATGGTTAAATGCATGAAAGGAGGGGCACTGCAGACACTGTAGTAACTGGTACCCACTGGAGTGAATTTATGCCCAGAGGATCCAGCTGTGATGGAATCTTAAGAGTATCCTGGATCCAAATTTGTACTTTCTGAAATAGTTAAGAGGGACTTCCAAGTGTTACCTTTGTTTGGTCAAGTCCAGGATATCTGAGGCCAAAATATACTAATTTCTGTCTTTGTGTTTTTCCTCAGCCTTTGGCATTTATCATATAAGCAATACATATGCATACACATCACTTCCTGTAGGCAGGGTAACCAGAGGTGCTCCATGCTTTCATCTCACAAGCTGCCGAAAATCATGTCCACTTATGTCCACTTATGCCTTACTGTGAGGCCTGGAGTTCCCCTCTGTGTACACATGTTTCTCTCACTGGAGCTAATGAGAGCTGTGCACGCATGTTATTAGGGAGAAAGAATCCTGTGAACGCTCTCTCTCAAACACAGATTGAAAGGCTGGATCGAAAACCAAACTATCACTTTACTGTTTATTTTTATCACACCAGTTTTTATTAACCAGCTCGCATATGATGACATGCAGGCATCTCACCAGCATGATTATTTTGATGGAGAACATGTGTACCTAATCTCCCAAGCTCTGATCTGCAGGCTGGGCTTGGGAAACCCATGTGCCGGCAAGGTCTCTAAGTTTTCCACACCCATGGTGAATGTAGAATTACACAAATCAGTTTTAGATTGTTTGGCCCACACTTAGATTTACTCTATAAATGATGAAGATCATAAGGGACTTTTGGTTAGAAGATTCCAGCCAAAATGTCCTCAAAAAGCCTCTTGTACTAGCACAATTCTAAGAGGATTTGGTTCCAAAAGGAAACTGTAAAGCACATTCATTAACCTTTTCCTCTGGTTAAATTTTTAAAACATTTTTTTCTCACTCATTCTTCATCCAGAAAAGCTCAAATAAGTAAGCATTCAGTTTTGTAGGGAAAAGAAGAAGAAGGAAGAGGAGGAAGAGGAGGAGGAGGAAAAGGAGAAGGAGAAGGAGAGGAAGAGAAAGAGGAAGAGGAAGAAGAAGAGGAAGAAGAAGAAGAAGAAGAAGAAGAAGAAGAAGAAGAAGAAGAAGA